AGCACACAATGTATTCTTTCTTACGGTCATATCAATATTTTTCAATGTCTCTTCGCCTTCACCCCAAGAGAATTTGCCTTTTCTAATTATCAAGGGATCACCTGTAATGGGAATTGAATTATGAGTCAGAAAAATGTAAATTTAACTAGTGTTGTAATGTAAACTTACTTTCTTTAGGATCATGCTGTACACTGTTCGGATCCAACTCCTCGCTATTCATAAACTTGTTAATACGTTGCACAGATACTTGTGTCTATTATTGTTGTTGTTGTTGGTGGGGAAATGAAAAAAAAGTTAAGACATTAGCTTTAATGCTACTGTATTTTATACATTTAATTTACAGGCATGAACGTGCAGTTGTTATTGTTAGCATAGGCAGGCAAAAAAAACGTTGGGTGAATTTTTTAGTTTTTTGATTTTTTCGGTTTAATATGTAAAGTATACAAATTATTTTAAAATAAAGATTTTATGGCCAGCACCAGTCGTCTGTCTCTATATTTTGAGATTTTTGTAAAAATAAGTTTTTGAAAAATGTATTCAGCTGTTATTTAAATCCCTACCAGGTAATAGCTGGTGATATAAAATATGCGCATGCTTTTGAATGTTTATGGGTAGAATTTCAAAATTTACCAATTTTGGGAATAATTTTTGCCAATTAATCTTTTGAAAAATCTTTAAATAATCACAGTTACTGGGTATTACATAGACGCATTGTTTAATTTGAATTTGTTGCCGAACCAATCGAAGTAAAAATAAAAAATAAAAAAATGCGAGTGCGCTTAGCACTTGCAATGTTTTGATGTGAAACATGTTAACAGCGTAGGCAATTTGTGTCGTTATTGCATAGGACCATCGATTTATTAATTTCATTTAATTTTATTTTTTTATATTCAACTTTCGGTGTTTTTCTTTTATTTTAAATAAGTAATGTATTTCCTCATTTGTTAGGAATTCATATTCCTATTCTTATGGATATTTGCGCTCGTATTTGCCTGCAATACAACAGCAGTTCTTTGGTGCTGATACTGTGCGCCTACAGCTGTTAAAGGCTTAACATTCATTTGTAAAGTTAATAACAGAGCAAAATCTCAGCCCGCCAAAATCCACTGAAGATGTTTTGCACTGCAAAAATAATGTACAAATGTATTGTGGTTAAAGTGGTTTACATACAAATTAATCAAGGAAATTTATCTCTTTGCATTCCAAAAATTTGTTATCCTTTTTAAAGCAAACAGAATATCAAATAACAGTGCTGTGGGCCTTTAACTTGGTATGAAACTGTTAGATGACAGCTGTTAAAGGTTTCGCCTCTACTATGTTAATAATAGAGAACCATTTTAGGCGGCCGATACTGGAGGAAGTTTCACATCAAAACATAATTTATAATATTATAACAAAACATAAAACACATAAAAACATACAAATTATAGAAGACATCGTTGTACAAACATATTTACATTCAACAAAACATTTTTAACTGTTTTAAAACAACATAAAACGATTTTTTTTTTGTATTTTTTTGTTTTTTTGGTCGACTTACTTGTACCATGTTGGATATCAACATGGGCAACATTATTAATGGGAAGCGTAAAATGTTGAATAATGATAATGATACGAATATTTTAGTTGCATCAAGAATATTGTTTTCATCAATTAAAACATACGTAGCGAATGTGACCAATGATACCTAAAAGTATAGAAATAGAAGATAAGAAAATTGCTTGTAACGAAAAAGAACATGCAAAAGTAAATATCGCTCATATATGTATTTCAATTGTGTCATAATCCAAAAATACAGAAATTTGAAGTAAGTATGCAGAAATTACCGCTTTTTCTATGTTGTGTAATAATTTCATAACCGTATCGATTACCAGTATCTCACTAAAACAAAATTTGTATTCATTTTAAATATGGGAGTAAATGTAAATTCAAAACATTAAAGCCGTTAATCTCGAGTTTTGCTTTCTTGAGTTATGATACTATTGAAAATTAAATTAAAAATGAGCGATAGGTAGTAGTTATGTATGTACACAGAAAGAGCCATTTCACAATTAATACAGAAATATGTACGCGAAAACGTAACTAGCCGTTGAACACTTCGCTTAACAACTCAGCGTAGTGTATGAATATTCATAATTCCACATGAGTAGTGCGTGCCACCATATCTGCATTAAGATGCTAAAAGAGGTTTGTCAAAGGAATGAACGAGTTTTTATGCTTTTGTAATCGCTGTGCATATGCATATACGCTCCAGTATGTAGTTAATAAGTGGTTTCAAAAATATCCGGCAAGTTGATAATTTACCTCAGCAATATCGACAGCTAGCATGGGCAAAGTGGCCAGTGGTAGTTTCATCGTATCGAACAGCGCTAGGCTAACGAATACTTTGGCTACGGTTAGGTGATTTTCATAACTCGATAAAACGTATGTGGCAAAAGTAACTAGAGAAACCTTATAAATACAATTGGTTTATAGAAATTTAATTTAATTTTTAGTAGTAACTATATTTAATGTTCCAATTATTTTCGTGAAATAAGAACGCTGAAAAGAAAAGAAAAATATGTTTGTTTGAAGCTTTCGTAAAGCTTACCAAGAAGGGTGCACAAGACCATAGGAAGGAGGTACCAGCGTTCAGGTATGCTGTGGATTTTAAAGTTGCTATTTCCTTTTCACGTATACGCAATACTTGATTTTCGAAACTTGGTTCCCAGGCGTATAATTTAAGTACCTACAAAACAAAAGTGTAGCAGATTACGAATCTAATTAGTTTCATTTGACTAAACACATAAATTCCATCATCTTACCTTTATACCGCTCAACACCTCATTCATTAACTTGACACGCTCATCCTTGTACTTCATTTGTCTTATTTGATATACTTTAATGCGATTGGCAATAACACCGTTGACTGGAATCAAAATAACCATCACTGCTAAACCAGCTAGGACTGAGGGTCCCAATTGTAGCCACAAGAAGTACATAGCTAGCGCAATTTGTAATGGCGCTGACCAAATCATATTCAAATATGTTGTTAAATCCATAAAGCGTTGTGCATCGACCGCCATTAAATTTACAATTTCGCCTACTGTCGATTCCTTACGTGTTGCATTCGATATAAGTAAAGCTTTGCGATATATTGCATTGATCAGCGCTGTGCGTATACGTAGACCAACAACGAACATGCGATGAAAATACTGTCCCAACATAAAAGTTTGTGCACCGGCAGTAATAAAAAGAAGTGCCGCATAGAGTATGCCCTTCCATTGGGGTTGCCTGTCCTTTTCGTCATCGGAGTAATCTTCCACAAAACCAATAATTAAACTTAGCACTTGAGGTTGTGCAAAAGTTAATACATCGCAAATAAACTTCATTAGCGAACCAAGCAAAAATACTCCACCAAATGATTTAATGATTGGCGGCATAATTGAAGTCACACCCTTCTTGCCGGTATTTCGTCCATGTGGGTTTTCAAACTCTACTTTTCCATTACTATATTGAGCCTTTGGCTGGGTTGGAGTTGTAGTCACTGTTTTAGTATTCTTACGCACATTCTTATTCCAATAGTAAGCAAATATTGGCATGACTTCTTTACAGCTGTCTTGTGGGCGCAAGTCCCAAAGGTCCTTCTCTTCCAAAGGATTACGATAGCCTTTCCACGCCATAACATCAAACCATGTGTATGTTATACGCGATAAGAAACTAGCCGAACTCTCTGGTATTTCGTTCTACGGAACATAATAGCATATAAAAAAAATGTGAAGGAAAATGTTTTGCTCTTTAAACAAACTTACATTAGTGCGTTTGTATTTAGTTTCCCTTGGCATGGCATCCGCGAAACAATTCAGCAATAGCATAGCGCATGAAAATGCGAAATAAATCATGTAGCTCACATAATTGTATTCTTCCCAAGAATAATCAGGTTTATCTGCTACTTCAGAGTTCAATATCTTGTTTCTTTCATTTTTCTCCCGCACCTCGGTACGACATTGAGGTATTGAAAATATTACAAGCAGAAACCAAAAGAGAAATTGTGCACCCGATGTCTGCACACCATATTTTCGATTTAGTGGTATAAAAATGAACAGCAACAACTGCAGTGGTTATATAGAAAAGATCATTTACCATTTGATTAATCAATCTAAATATATTTACTTACAAATGTAGCAAATTTTATTATTGGTCCCCATATATCGACTGGATAAATACGGGTAGCCGTCCCTTCATCTCCTTTCTTCACCATTGCAATCACAAAATCTACAGCCGAAAGCACAAGCAACGCCCCATTCACCGCTAATTTGCTTAAATTAAGCTTATTCCATGGTATATTCTTATCTAAACTCGCTTTTAGATAGTAAAAATCAAATATGGAGAACACCCAGAGGAAGGCGCATGGGCCCCACACCAAAACAGTCTTTTCAAAGCATTTAGTAAAATCTGGATCACTTGTCCACCACGTTTCATTTGAGTCCTAATAAGTTCCATTGGTGAAAATTAGACAGCATTAAGAAGGTAATGAAGTTATCGCGTACTTACCCAAAATTTTGTGCCACAAAACTCATCCATAGGATGAGCGGCGGTATCTGCCATGATGTGAAGCTTATAGTCCGGGCAGAACTGTGCACTTTAATATCCGCTTGCTCTTAGTTTATATTATATAATTATAGTATTTCGATAATCGGGCAAGCATCGAAATTAATATGCAAATAAATGTTACAAAATGTACTATGGCCTCTTCTACAGCTACTGATCTGGTATTAACCTATAAGTGGAGAATTAAAACCAGCTGTTAAAAAGGGTGGCAAAAATATTTAAATATTCCACATTTTATACTGAAATAAGTAGAAATAATCTTGATGCAATCAATCATATAATTAATTTTCTTATTCGCTTGCGAGTTAATGGTAATTTCCTTAAAATTTTTTAGCTTATTATATGGATGTAAAAGCGTAAAATACGTATTTATTTGTCTTCATTCCTGAATGATAGTCATAAAACTGGACACACTTGTCACCCTGTGTTATAGTCTACAACATTTCTCTACACAATTTGATGTGAAACAAACAGAGCTCTTTGCTGTCACTGAATGACATTCCATACTGCTGTTATTTACCAGCCGCGTTTTTTGTTATAATTTTGTGAGATTTGTTGCGGATTTTCTGTTTTTCTCTGCGTAGTTCAACAAAGGCTATATAACTCACAAAAATGTCGCGTCCTACAAACTTTTTAGAGGCTGATTCAAGTTTAATTGAAAATAATCTGTTAATTGTCAAAGTAAGGAGGAAGCGTAATATTTGTAGCCCATGAAATCGTCTAATGCAAATTGTATTTTCAGAACGAGGCGGAAGAGGAGTTAAATCAATATTTTGGTGGCGTTCAAGCTGGTGGCGAATCGCGTAAAGAATCTTTAGCACCGCCGCGCGATTACAAGGTTGTGCAACCTAAACCAGGTAACTACATGCTGTATGGATATGATTGTGATCAAATGTAGTACCAGGGACACACTTGCATAGTTGCCGAAATAATTTACTATTCGACCTAGTTCCAAAATGATTCAACATTAATTTCTCATTTATTGCATTGTCATGATTACTTTTAAGAATTTTGTTTCGTTATCTCAGATAATACAAAGATAGCACAAGCTACTTATCTACTGGAGGCAAGACTCGTTTCCCCACATTTGCTTTCACGTTCTTACTAAATACCTTTAAGTTGGCGGTATTTTTGGAACGTAAAAAAGTTAGTGTGGCTATAATGCCGATACCTTTTATCACTGGTCAGATGTATAGAAATGGCATTTAACAGGATAATGATCGAATTATTTAAACTATGTTGCTTTTGAATAATTTATGCTTAAATCCTTCCAACTATATACTTTGTACGTAGGCTAGCTTTAGCATAACGAACCATTCGCTGCATACGACTGCGAATGACTCACTAGCGCCGATCCGTTGAAGAACTCTTGGCAAATGAACGCGAAAGAAATAGTTCCGATACCAGCAAGTCAATATTCTTATTGTCTCCAAAAAATTCCTCGTTGTTAAAAAGATAAAGGGAATGGTGCATTATACTAAAGCCTGCCTTGCTGCACTAGCTACTATTCCACAAAACACAGAAATGTATACATTTGTAAGCAGCTCAAATTTTCCTACTAATACTTTAATTTCAATTTGTAGTTGCATTGTAGCGCCATAATTGAAGAGCGTTACGCTTGACTGAAAATTGTCGGTCAAGCAATAATCTTTTGTTCGCAGCAATTAGGAACGCCTAATACTGTGCTGATTGGCCCAATGCATTTCAATTAATTGTAATTGAAATGGAGTAGAATGTAAAACAAAAAAAAAAAGATCTGCTTGATCTGAGAGAAGTATAAAACTATTCAGCATTCAGGCATAAAGTATTTACTATGTATATATATGTATGAATATGTATGTATTCTATGATTTCATGAAAATAGATTTCAAAGCGGCATTTATTGCTTTTAGCAACATGGTTCAAACGCATTGGTTTGCTTTGGTTTAATTATACGTGTGGACGGACGTTCAGAAACTCTCATAAATAGTTAAACGCTTTGGTGATGTATGTACATATGTACTTACTATGTATATAGTATGTATAGATGTCAGACGTGGTAATGCAATATATTTCGAAAAGGCTGTCAACTTGATAAATTTCAGAAAGCTTGCATTTAAAGTGTCTTTCGAAAGGGGTTTTTTTGATTTAGAACAAGAACGTTTTGAAAAGAAAATGAAAAAAAGTGAAGACGTTTCGCCTATAAAAGGCATAACCCGTTTGGTTTGCTTCAAATAAATATGCATATAATAGAGAAACTTGCTCAAAATCGTCTTTTTTTCGATTGTAAGCTTAAATGTTAAACTTGTTTTATTCTTTGGATACTTAAAAAGTATAGATTTATTGTTTATTCCGTTTGTTTTATAAATTTATACGATTTTTTTTGTATAAACTAGTACGCATTCAACTTGCTAAATACCGGTTTTGCTGTATTCTAGCTGCATATAAACAAAAAATATTGTATTTAGCAAAGACAACATAGCCGAAAGCGAGCGAAAATTACATCTACATACACGCAAACATTAAGCACATGTGTACATACCACGCGTATTTATTTATCGTTAAATAGCAGAATAGCAGAGTCTCTGAAAACAAGTTTATTACTTAATAATAATAAAATTGGCGATATTAGATATGTAGATAGCACGTTGAAGGCAGCAAGCTGACGTTCTTTATTAATTTCAAATCGAACAGTTGTTTGTGTAGCGCAATCAACAGTTGTCAATGTGCAAATTTTCTTTTATACCTACTCAAGTTCAATGTAGTTTGACATCATGAAATTGCCAGCAAAATATGCATAATTCAATTATTTCAAGCATTGCAATATTGAGAACATTTTAGGTTGTAGTTATACGTGTGGATATACATACATATATATATATACATATTTACATACATCGATATGCAAATAGATAGTGCATTCTTTTCTTAATAACACACACATTTCTTATTTAATATTTTTTTTTGCCTTTATTTCCTTAGTGCGATAGTGGCCGAAATTGGGTCGCTCTCTTGGCTTTTTTTTTGCAACATAGAAAGAGAAAAATTCCCTTAGCTCTTTGAAGCTAATTAGAGGCGCGTTAATTTAAGGTGCACCAAGCGAACAAATTTGGAAAATACATACATACATATGTACATATCGTCAATTGAAATGCAAAAAGGCGTTACAACATCGTAAATGAAATGGAAAAAGTCGTGACTAATATTTTAATTTTTTTCATAAAATGATGTGGGGAGTTGTAATTCGATGAAATCCATCATTTGAATCAAAAAGTGAATTTTGAATTTTTTATTAGTTATGATTTTTTCCATTTCAACTATGATGTTTGTTACGTCTTTTTGCATTTCACTATATACTTGTATGCAGTGTCGAAATGAATATTATATAAATGCTATTATTATATTACTTAAAAACTGTGTTTATTGGCGCCATCCAATCCTCTGAAGAGTTCTCTAGATTTGCTGCAGTTTTCCCAACTAAGCGCGCTTTACATACCCTTGACGTGTGTTCGAGGTCGTTTTCTTGTTGGAAAGAAAGGGAACCAGGGAGGGAAGCATGACTTCTCATAAAGTTGTATGTAAATCTGTTTATTTATTAATTGTATCTAAGTTAACTTAAACACTTAAAGTTTTGAATTCATGACTCCCCTTGTGCATTGATAAAATCATAATATAGCGCAGAGTTTCAAAAGAATATATGCACATTAGAGTGCATCGCTATCCATAAAAAAAAAATATTATACTGTTTTTAAGACCAGCCAAAAAAGATTTCGGGAAAATATTAATATTCACTTGAGCTGGACCGCTTTGAAAATACCTCCAAATATTGAGTTTTTTTCTAATAAAATTAGTTTTTAAAAATGTTTATTCAAAAAATCACCTCAGATGATAAAAGAGTTTAAGCTTAAAAGGTGTGTATTAAAAGTGTAGAAATTTTATCAACGTAACCAAAATAAAATGGATTTTCATAAGTATTTTTAAATCGGTCTTGTTCATGTAAATAATAATATTTTTCCAGAAATATTTTGGCGGGTGTCTTAAAATATAATTAGATTTATAGTTCCGGTTGAAAATCTCATTTTTTTGACGTATGAAAAACGTATATTAAAGTGGTAAACGACTTTTTTGAGTTTGGTTTTAAAATTTTTTTTTACTAAAATTTTAATAAGTACTTCCTAATTTACACATAAAAACAATAAATGGTTATTGCAATTATCGATTTTAAGTGAATTAGCTCCAGTAGTTACTGAGTTATCGCAGTTTACGTGTTTCTGTAAATTACCGTTATATGGCAGGTGGGCGTGGTTATTGCCCGATTTCAAAGATTTTCAACAGATTTCTTAGCTAGCGCATACCCAAGCCTCGCACCGAGATACAGCATTTCATCATAAGTGGGCGGGGTCACGCCCATTTTCCAAAAATTTCATAACAATATTATTTTCTACCACAATTCTACTCCACATACTAATTTTCAACAATGTACATTTAATATTTACTGAAATATCGCAGTTTTTGAATTTTTCGAAAATACCGTTATATGGGAAGTGGACGTGGTTACACAGTCCGATTTCGCCCATTTTCAATACCAACCTACCTTGGCTAGAGGGCAACCAACATATCAAATTTCGTTGAGATATCTCAATTTTTGCTATCGTATAATGAAATGAAATTACTTGGGCTAAAAATATTATTGATTGCCCCGCTGGCGTCGCGAGGTGTGACATATCGAGGAAAACTCATTTGTCAATAGATGACTAACTCCCTCAACATTGACTATTCAAGTATCGTAAAAACTTTAATTTCGGTAAAATCCCCGTTCAATTTCAAATTATGTTTGTATGTACGTATGCATCTAAGCTCTCACGTGTGTTTCGTTTATCTAGTTATGAGATTTGAGCTAAAATTCCATTAGCAAATTATGGCTGGTAGACACTTGTCGAATAAATTCGCTATCAAACAAAAATTTATTCTTCGACTAATTTTCAATTACACTTTTTTATTCTTTTTAACTCCTATTTATTTTTGGTGTTTTTTCGTAGGATTGTTTTAACTTCGTTGTGCTTTTCTATATTTTATTTATTTATTTATTTACTATTCGTATCAAGCTTGCAAATGAAACAATGCACTTCAGCATATGGACTCATACATATTTATATGCCCATACGAATGTACATCATGTGTCTACCTATGTACATATTTACATTATCACATCTTCACACAATTATTTGTTGCAATTTATAATTTGAAACCATTGTTATAGTAGCTGTATTGTTGATTGTTTACACTTTTCTCTCTCACTTGCTCACTTAATTAGGTTATTTTCGTTGTATAATGAAATTTGCTTGGTGAAATAGTGTAGATTGATCACATACCTATATATTTAAATACATGCAGAAGCACTCAATTTAAGTATATAAAATGCACTTATCAACACAACTATAATGGGGTTACAAAGAGTCCTTAACTTTATTTCTAATCTTTTTTGTATGTATGTATATTAAATATATTGTGTGAATGCATATATGTATGTACAAATGTAGTAAATGTCTGCGCATATGATATACGCAAAGATTAAAGGGATTAGCAACAATTTGTCACAGCGTAGCGTGCACATGCAAGTACATACATACATATCGCTCACTTGCTTGCAAGAGTGTCATAATCCAAAAAACTTGAGAAAAACGGTTTCAATGTTTACAGTTTACATACGCGCCCATGCACTATGGGTCGTCATCTTACCACTTTTCTGGGTGCATAGCTAGAATACTTCTGAACAGCACAAATTATTTAAAATTTTAGTTTTGTTTATTGTAGCGCAAGTGATTATTAAAGTAAAACATTTGGCTTGAAAATTTTTAATTTAAAATAAAGAATCAAT